TGTAGTGTGGGGATGGACCTGACCCCAACCATGTGCAGATGAACTAAATAATAATAAGTAATTTGCTTTTCTCGTGATTGGATAATTGAAATGATCGATTATTGAGTGCAGATAAGTAAATCAGCCTCATTGAGAAATGATAGAGGCCAGAGAATGCCGGATTGCTGCTTGTTTCAGAAGAAGGCCAGCGATAGGAGTTCACATATTTCTCATGCTTCTCACCCTATTGGTGAACTTTCATCTCTCTTCCAAGACGAGCAATATGAATATAGACGTAGAGACCTGTTTTATTTACAGATTTCCTAGTAACGCAATGGAAGCCTATGATGTCACTGATTTTATCTAAGTAAAGCAAAGAAAGATACATTCACACATCCAGACACACTTACCGTCCCGTAGAGCGTGCCCTCGCTCCCCATACACAGATACAGAGATGAGTAATAACTTTTAATGGCCACGACACCTACTGCAACAGCTCTGATTTCAAGTAAACCTGGGGGAAAAAAGACGAAAATCAGCTTTTTTTCATGGCGTTCCTTTTTTTTTTTTTTTTACAAATAGAGAAAATAGAAGGAACAAAGATCATTGCAATAACGACAGATGTGAATGTGCAACTATGTAAAGCGCTGCGTAAATTGTTGGTGCTATATAAATAGCTGTAATAAAATAATTAAATGGTTATTTTGTGATCTGATGATTCACACGGCTTCTTATATGCATACAGCGTAAATTCTGGCATATTTCCCCTGCACAGGTCCCGCGTACAGTCTTCTTTAAAAGTCAATGGCTGTAGGGGGCTGTACAGGTCTTTACGCCGGATTGGTGCGAACACTTTTGTGCGTATGGGCACACAACCCCAAATGCAGTATCTGCCAGTCCGGTGTATTCCTGTGTACTTCCATTGACTTCTATGGGAGGTTGTACATAGCACCACTTTTGATATTCTATTGCAATGACCGAGGTGGTCTACAAAGCAGACTTGACTGTGTAAAATATATATTGAACTCCAAAGACATGCTAGAAGGTTAATTAGCTCCTGTCTAAGTCAGTCCTAGTACGTGGTTGTACATGCAAGCGAAACAGGGACCTTAGACTGTAAACTCCTTGAGGGCAGGGACTGATGTGAATGTGCAACTATGTAAAGCGCTGTGTACATTGTCGGCCCTATATAAATGCCTGTAATAAATAACATGATAACATGTCGTTTTAAACAAGACAGAGAATAGGCATGCAAAGGCAAATGATCCTGATTTACTAAGGGAGCAAACTTTTCAAGTAAAAATGTCACTCATGGTGAATTGTAGCGAACGAGGTGAAACAAAGTGACCATATGTAAAGAATATCCAATGAAAAAAAAATACAGGATTTTTGCTTGTACGCGATTGGAAGACAAGACGTTGGCACAACTTCACCCCGTTCACTAAGTTTTGCAAATTAATTTAGCAAATCCACCCCCAAGCAATAAAAAAAAATAAAAAATACAGTGAAAATCACAACAAAATTAATACATATATATATATATTTTTTTAAAGTTTCGGCAATCGCTATCAATTGCAAGAATTGTAATAATTAACGTATATAGAAAATAAGGAAAAAAATAGCTTGTAACTTACTGTCAGATCTTTGGTGTCTCTCTCCATCTACTCTGCGCCTTTCTCCATCTTCTCTGCATCTTTCTCCATCTACTGCGTGCCTTTCTCCATCTATTCTGCATCTTTCTCCATCTGCTCTGCAATTTTCTGCGTCTACTCTGCCATCGTCGTGTATCCTCAGATAATAGCAGCCCTGCTTTCTGGCCGTATGCAGGCACATGATTCTGATAGACCCCCCCCAGCTTACGTGTGGTCCTGCGTCGGAAAGTGGCCGCGTGTGAACGGCCAGCACCAACCACAGCTCCACCAGCACGACAGGAATAGATATCTGGGACAGTCCCCTCCACATCTTCTCTGCTTTGGAAATTGCAATTCGAGAGCTCAAAGGCAACACTCGGTGTCACTAAAGTTACTAGAGGCAGACTAAAGCGAGCAATGCTTTTTGCCTAATTGCCTCTGGGCTGTAGTAAATACAAAGCCAATCCCCTGCCTTTTATAGATCCTAAAGATCCTTTATCAGCTTTGTAGATAAGGTAATACATGGATTGTCATAATGATTGTGACAGTCCCAGCGTATTGATCTGCATTACATCACTCTAAGCGAAGTCTCCGGCGCTATGTGTATTTTTTCTCTTCAGTTTTCCTTTTATTATTCTTTGCTTTTGCCACCGTGAATCAGATTCGGCTATTCCAACTGCGTTTTTACATGTTAAGCAAACTAGTTCTTAAAAGGATCTGAGTGTCTTAAGCCTTGTTTTTTTTTATAAATCTGAAGCCCATCTCCATGCAGATAAAAAAAAAAAAAACCCCACAAACTAACACAGTTCTGTAATTATTAATACATCATTAAATGCATGTTTTAAAATGCAAGCAATGTAAGTACCTGAATTTGACTTGGTGTCAGCCTCTTGTAGTCCCTGTACAGCAGAGCTCAGACTAGGAGGGGGACAAGCAGCACAAGGAATCAATCAGGTGTATTGCAGTGCTCACGTGCTAAGGTTATACAGTATGAGGCTAAAGATGTCCATAGACTCAAGTGTGGGGTTGTTTGTGCAAGCATAACCCAACCACCCCCAAGGCAAGCTGTATGCGGAGCACTGCCAGCAATACAAGTTTATGTGAATGGAGAGTGGAAGGGGGATGAGCTGGAGGAGGCGGGCAGGAAAAGGCTGATCCTGGATTAACAGGGGGGGATAATAGTGATTGGAACTGTTTTTAACTGTCTAATTGTTTACCAGCCAGCTGACCCCATCTGCAGGCACCCACAGACATGAAATCAATGCCTATGCCAGTTGAGGTAGCTGTCATCTCAACATTAACAAAGGGTAGAGGGCTTAAAGTGGAATCAAATTTTAAAAGAGACCATTTGCTGTGTTCTAGGGAACATCTAGAAACGTTAATTGTGCTGAAACATTACCTTAAACATTGTACCTTTTGTCTGGAATTCCCCTTAAAAAATATCTGAGCACTTCCCGATATGTGAGCGTGTTGAGGCTCTTCTATGAATACAGCATCATAGCTGTGTTGCTGCAGTGTGAGATCTCAGACACTGCTGCCTCTGAGTGCTAGTCTTAGCAGATTTGGAGTGAGATTTGGTCATTTCACTACTGTGCTGCTCACTGTCCTCCTTGCTGGAGGCTTTGACACTAGGAAGCAAAGCCCTGACCCTACCAAGATGGCCCCTCCACACAGCGATGGGGTATGGTAAGTTAGTAATGGAGTAAGATCAGCTGCAAGGGCACCTCAGACAATACCAGTGACTAGCCCTTTGTCCTCTTCCTGTTTTATTTTGTGGGCACAGTTCCTCTTCAAGTGATGTTTGTGAAACCTGTTTTACAATTTATTTATTTGCACATAGCAAAGGATTACCCAACACAATGTCTGTAGATAAACAGCCTTCATCAGGTACATTAATGCAACTCAGGATACCCGCCACCTCATATTCACATTAGGGACACACATGTTGGGTGTGTCTTAGCTTCAAGTGCTCCATTTAGGTTCCATTTAATCTTGCTGTCTAAAGGATTAGGAGTTAATAAGGGTTGTTCCTGCACAGTAGCAGTGCTTCTAATGTACATTTAGGGTGATGGGTATCTTCACTTGTTTGAATGGGCAAATGGATAATCCAATACTGTGGTTGAGTTCTGGAACTGTTATTCTATGCTACATAAGGAGGGGACCTTGTTAAGCTGGTCAGGTTCTGCTGATGTTGAAGTTACTTCATATTGGACCAACTGTGACTACATGAGTTTAAGGTCAACCTTACCTTCAGTGTACAGTTAGGGTGGTGGGTATCTTCACTTGTATGAATGTGCAAATGGGTTATCCTATACTGTGGTTAAGTTTCGGGGCAGTGGGTGTATGCTACATAGGGAGGGGACCTTGTTAAGCTGGTCAGGTTCTGCTGATGTTGAAGTTACTTCATATTGGACCAACTTTGACTACATGAGTTTAAAGTCAACCTTACCTTCAGTGTACAGTTAGGGTGGTGGGTATCTTCACTTGTATGAATGTGCAAATGGGTTATCCTATACTGTGGTTAAGTTTCGGGGCAGTGGGTGTATGCTACATAGGGAGGGGACCTTATTAAGCTGGTCAGGTTTTTTTTTTTTTTTTTACAAATAGAGAAAATAGAAGGAACAAAGATCATTGCAATAACGACAGATGTGAATGTGCAACTATGTAAAGCGCTGCGTAAATTGTTGGTGCTATATAAATAGCTGTAATAAAATAATTAAATGGTTATTTTGTGATCTGATGATTCACACGGCTTCTTATATGCATACAGCGTAAATTCTGGCATATTTCCCCTGCACAGGTCCCGCGTACAGTCTTCTTTAAAAGTCAATGGCTGTAGGGGGCTGTACAGGTCTTTACGCCGGATTGGTGCGAACACTTTTGTGCGTATGGGCACACAACCCCAAATGCAGTATCTGCCAGTCCGGTGTATTCCTGTGTACTTCCATTGACTTCTATGGGAGGTTGTACATAGCACCACTTTTGATATTCTATTGCAATGACCGAGGTGGTCTACAAAGCAGACTTGACTGTGTAAAATATATATTGAACTCCAAAGACATGCTAGAAGGTTAATTAGCTCCTGTCTAAGTCAGTCCTAGTACGTGGTTGTACATGCAAGCGAAACAGGGACCTTAGACTGTAAACTCCTTGAGGGCAGGGACTGATGTGAATGTGCAACTATGTAAAGCGCTGTGTACATTGTCGGCCCTATATAAATGCCTGTAATAAATAACATGATAACATGTCGTTTTAAACAAGACAGAGAATAGGCATGCAAAGGCAAATGATCCTGATTTACTAAGGGAGCAAACTTTTCAAGTAAAAATGTCACTCATGGTGAATTGTAGCGAACGAGGTGAAACAAAGTGACCATATGTAAAGAATATCCAATGAAAAAAAAATACAGGATTTTTGCTTGTACGCGATTGGAAGACAAGACGTTGGCACAACTTCACCCCGTTCACTAAGTTTTGCAAATTAATTTAGCAAATCCACCCCCAAGCAATAAAAAAAAATAAAAAATACAGTGAAAATCACAACAAAATTAATACATATATATATATATTTTTTTAAAGTTTCGGCAATCGCTATCAATTGCAAGAATTGTAATAATTAACGTATATAGAAAATAAGGAAAAAAATAGCTTGTAACTTACTGTCAGATCTTTGGTGTCTCTCTCCATCTACTCTGCGCCTTTCTCCATCTTCTCTGCATCTTTCTCCATCTACTGCGTGCCTTTCTCCATCTATTCTGCATCTTTCTCCATCTGCTCTGCAATTTTCTGCGTCTACTCTGCCATCGTCGTGTATCCTCAGATAATAGCAGCCCTGCTTTCTGGCCGTATGCAGGCACATGATTCTGATAGACCCCCCCCAGCTTACGTGTGGTCCTGCGTCGGAAAGTGGCCGCGTGTGAACGGCCAGCACCAACCACAGCTCCACCAGCACGACAGGAATAGATATCTGGGACAGTCCCCTCCACATCTTCTCTGCTTTGGAAATTGCAATTCGAGAGCTCAAAGGCAACACTCGGTGTCACTAAAGTTACTAGAGGCAGACTAAAGCGAGCAATGCTTTTTGCCTAATTGCCTCTGGGCTGTAGTAAATACAAAGCCAATCCCCTGCCTTTTATAGATCCTAAAGATCCTTTATCAGCTTTGTAGATAAGGTAATACATGGATTGTCATAATGATTGTGACAGTCCCAGCGTATTGATCTGCATTACATCACTCTAAGCGAAGTCTCCGGCGCTATGTGTATTTTTTCTCTTCAGTTTTCCTTTTATTATTCTTTGCTTTTGCCACCGTGAATCAGATTCGGCTATTCCAACTGCGTTTTTACATGTTAAGCAAACTAGTTCTTAAAAGGATCTGAGTGTCTTAAGCCTTGTTTTTTTTTATAAATCTGAAGCCCATCTCCATGCAGATAAAAAAAAAAAAAACCCCACAAACTAACACAGTTCTGTAATTATTAATACATCATTAAATGCATGTTTTAAAATGCAAGCAATGTAAGTACCTGAATTTGACTTGGTGTCAGCCTCTTGTAGTCCCTGTACAGCAGAGCTCAGACTAGGAGGGGGACAAGCAGCACAAGGAATCAATCAGGTGTATTGCAGTGCTCACGTGCTAAGGTTATACAGTATGAGGCTAAAGATGTCCATAGACTCAAGTGTGGGGTTGTTTGTGCAAGCATAACCCAACCACCCCCAAGGCAAGCTGTATGCGGAGCACTGCCAGCAATACAAGTTTATGTGAATGGAGAGTGGAAGGGGGATGAGCTGGAGGAGGCGGGCAGGAAAAGGCTGATCCTGGATTAACAGGGGGGGATAATAGTGATTGGAACTGTTTTTAACTGTCTAATTGTTTACCAGCCAGCTGACCCCATCTGCAGGCACCCACAGACATGAAATCAATGCCTATGCCAGTTGAGGTAGCTGTCATCTCAACATTAACAAAGGGTAGAGGGCTTAAAGTGGAATCAAATTTTAAAAGAGACCATTTGCTGTGTTCTAGGGAACATCTAGAAACGTTAATTGTGCTGAAACATTACCTTAAACATTGTACCTTTTGTCTGGAATTCCCCTTAAAAAATATCTGAGCACTTCCCGATATGTGAGCGTGTTGAGGCTCTTCTATGAATACAGCATCATAGCTGTGTTGCTGCAGTGTGAGATCTCAGACACTGCTGCCTCTGAGTGCTAGTCTTAGCAGATTTGGAGTGAGATTTGGTCATTTCACTACTGTGCTGCTCACTGTCCTCCTTGCTGGAGGCTTTGACACTAGGAAGCAAAGCCCTGACCCTACCAAGATGGCCCCTCCACACAGCGATGGGGTATGGTAAGTTAGTAATGGAGTAAGATCAGCTGCAAGGGCACCTCAGACAATACCAGTGACTAGCCCTTTGTCCTCTTCCTGTTTTATTTTGTGGGCACAGTTCCTCTTCAAGTGATGTTTGTGAAACCTGTTTTACAATTTATTTATTTGCACATAGCAAAGGATTACCCAACACAATGTCTGTAGATAAACAGCCTTCATCAGGTACATTAATGCAACTCAGGATACCCGCCACCTCATATTCACATTAGGGACACACATGTTGGGTGTGTCTTAGCTTCAAGTGCTCCATTTAGGTTCCATTTAATCTTGCTGTCTAAAGGATTAGGAGTTAATAAGGGTTGTTCCTGCACAGTAGCAGTGCTTCTAATGTACATTTAGGGTGATGGGTATCTTCACTTGTTTGAATGGGCAAATGGATAATCCAATACTGTGGTTGAGTTCTGGAACTGTTATTCTATGCTACATAAGGAGGGGACCTTGTTAAGCTGGTCAGGTTCTGCTGATGTTGAAGTTACTTCATATTGGACCAACTGTGACTACATGAGTTTAAGGTCAACCTTACCTTCAGTGTACAGTTAGGGTGGTGGGTATCTTCACTTGTATGAATGTGCAAATGGGTTATCCTATACTGTGGTTAAGTTTCGGGGCAGTGGGTGTATGCTACATAGGGAGGGGACCTTGTTAAGCTGGTCAGGTTCTGCTGATGTTGAAGTTACTTCATATTGGACCAACTTTGACTACATGAGTTTAAAGTCAACCTTACCTTCAGTGTACAGTTAGGGTGGTGGGTATCTTCACTTGTATGAATGTGCAAATGGGTTATCCTATACTGTGGTTAAGTTTCGGGGCAGTGGGTGTATGCTACATAGGGAGGGGACCTTATTAAGCTGGTCAGGTTAGGCTGGTGTTGAAGTTACTTCATATTGGACCAACTTTGACTACATGAGTTTAAAGTCAACCTTACCTTCAGTGTACAGTTAGGGTGGTGGGTATCTTCACTTGTATGAATGTGCAAATGGGTTATCCTATACTGTGGTTAAGTTTCGGGGCAGTGGGTGTATGCTACATAGGGAGGGGACCTTATTAAGCTGGTCAGGTTAGGCTGGTGTTGAAGTTACTTCATATTGGACCAACTTTGACTACATGAGTTTAATGTCAACCTTACCTTCAGTGTACATTTAAGGTGGTGGGTATCTTCACTTGTATGAATGTGCAAATGGGTAATCCCATACTGTGGTTGAGTTCTGGGACGGTGAGTGTATTCTACATAGAAAGGGGAACTCGTTAAGCTGGTCAGGCCCTGCTTGTGGTGAACTTACTTCATATTGGACCAACTGTGTCTGCTTGAGTTTAAAGTCAACCTTACCTTCAGTGCAGTAGTCCTGCAGAGTTATGTATATATCAGTATTTATTTCATAAAGAACTCATTTATTCCACTGCTTCAGCAAAGCAAATTCCACCAATGCATTTGTGCATAACTGAGGAAAATCCAGCTGTCATCTTGAGACACTAAGGTCAACCATAGGCAGAAGAAGTTGGTTGGATCTGCTGCCATGATCTGACTGCCATCAGGCATGTGCTTTAGCCAACCCTTTCACACAAAGTATGCTTGGCTTGGCTGAATGTGGAAGGGATGGAGGAGAAGGGGTAACATAAGCAATAAGAAAAGGTTTTCTAACAATACATTCAACTCTAACACCTCCCAAGATCAGCCAACATGAGAGCACCTACTATCCTTATAGATCAGGGGACTGTCATTGCATTTCCACGTGTAACTTTAGCAAGAGCTATAAGATCACCTATGAGACATTTCAAAGTTAAATGTTGTGGGGGAAGTTGCAATAGGCAGGTCATGCAAGGAAACCAACTAAGATATTGCAACCGATGGAATGTTTTATGGTGGACTGGTCAAAAGGTTCACTTGGTTAAGGCCATAGAATGGTGGGCAGTTATGCAAAACACCAACAAAAAGTAATTTTAGCTAAAAGAGGCAACCTACCTACTTCTATGGCAGGGGTGGGCAATTCTGGCCCTCCAGCTGTGCTTTACCTACAAATCCCATCATGCATCTGATCTGGGAGTCATGCCTGTGGCTATCAGTGTCAATGCCTTGTTGTTCCACAACAGCTGGAAGGCTGGAGTTGCCCACCGCCAAGGGTGTGCTTACTTTTTCCACAATACATCATTGCGTTTATTGATGTTTTTAACAATTAAATGGTTGAAAAGGCAGATTTTCCTTTTGCTTTTATTTTATTTTAGTATATCACCTTTAGCTACAGATACTGTTTGAATGGAAGTCAAATGTTTTTCTGTTTAAATATGATAAAATAAAAAAATAAAAAATAAAAAAAA